CTGTCTGTCTGTCTGTCTGTCTGTCTGTCTGTCTGTCTGTCTGTCTGTGTGTGTATTTTTTTTCGAAGGCAGTTGGTCGCAAAGTTGTCACTCGAGATTCCTTTGAAACTGAAAAAAGTGATGGGATCCGTCCTGGCTCTGTTCGATCGCCAGGCACGATCCTCCTCTCGTCAAGCTTCTAGTCCTTGGCTACAAGCTTGGCGAGTTCGCGATGGATGCCAAGGGACTTGAGGATCCTCTGGTTTCCAATTGTGGTTCCTGTGCTGAGGATTGCGATTGGAGATTTGCTCCCAATTTGCTTCAGCAGGGAGCCGACCACAGCCTTGTCCTTTCCGGAATTGAGGATGATCCACTTGCTCTCTGCGCTCGACCCAAACCTCCTGTATATGTCTGCAACCTTGGTGGAGCCCTGGTACGCTGCCGTCTGGTCCCTTGATCCTGCGAGCTTCACGAGATTGACAGCTCCAGCCGGGATGAAGTATGCCATCTCTTCCGTGAGGATTGCAAGGACCTCAGAGGCATCAGCCTGCTTCAATGCCCAGTTGGACCCACTGATGTTTGCAATTGCCTTGACATGGTCGCTGAACGTTGCCTCTATCATGCTGATGCCCTTCTTGAAATTGCTGGAGTCCGAGCATTTCCTTCCTTTGGCCTCCGCCCATCCAATGCCGCTTGCAATCAGCGAGAGCCCTTCCCCGATCATCGAACTCTGTTCAGCAGACACATCCTCCTCCTTGATCCTCACGACCTTGACAATGGGCTCATGATGCTCAGAAGAGTCATCATCATCAGAATTCATCAGGGCCTTCATTCACAGGCGTCCCGGGCCTTGACACAGGAGCTCTGAGGATCACCACAGCCTTCTCCCAGTAATCGAGATAGTCCTCATATTTGTCCTTGAAGAGCAGGCAGTGCTCCTCGAAGGTGATGCCAATCCACTCGTCCTCCTCTTCATTCTCCACGAGCTTGTAGACCTGCTCATTCTCCGCCGCCACGAGAATCGCCCTGTTGGCTTCGGAGACTGAAGGGGGCCTCATCCTGTCATTGGGGCACTTTTCAACCTGAGCCATGAGCTGAGCAGCCATATTCTCGATGAGCGTCTTGCCGTTCGAATCGTCAGCTTCAGTGTCGCTGCCTGAGGTGGACTTGCCCTCCTGGCTGTCGTCTGCCTGATTCCCAAGCGTCTTCCTCAGCTTTTCAAAGTATCCAAGGCCTCCAAGCCGGTCGATCAGATGCCACGCCTTGGAGAGGCGCTTCCTGTAGATCGACCCCATGTGCGGACGCGATTCACCCTTGCTCGATGTGGACTCTCTGATGGATTTGACGGCCGCCTCCACATCCTCAATCGTCTTCAGGACCACATTGCAGCTTGTTGTTCCTTTGGGCGCATCTTCCTTCAGAATGCCAATGAAGACAGGGTACCATGGTGAGCTCGATGGGCTGTCCTTTGGCGGCAGCGTGACTCCTGTCTCGACAATGCGGATCTGATCCTCCGTGTAGCCTGTCTCTTCCAGAGTCTCTCGGAAGATTGTGACCGCAAACTTGTCGCAGTCGTTCTCCAATGTCATCATCTTGTTCAGCCCTTCGGCCTCATCTGCTTTCCCTCCTGGAAAGTCCCATCCTGCCCTTTCATCTGTCATCACCATATACCGAATGTCGCTCGTGAGCAGAATCATCCCCCCGCCTGGATACTTGAATCCGGTCCATGCGAGAGGGTCCATGTTTGTGTACGCGCGTGGCTTCTTGACATGCTCGGATGCTTGTGGATCCTCCGAGGCCTGCGCAGGGGCATCCTCTGCCTTCTGGCCCTTAGGCTCGTCATCTTTCTTCTTTTCGCCTGGGCCGCCTGTCTTGCTGCTCATCTCCTCCACTTTTGCCTTTGCCTTTGGCTCGGCTTTCGGGACCGCCTTTTTGTTCTCCTTGCCCGTGCCCTTCTCCTTTGCCATCAAGACCTGCGTTCCCGTTGCTGCAGGCGCCTTTTCAGCCTCTGCTTTTCCTGCGCGCTCCGCGCTTGTCCCTGGATCTTCAAAGATGGGGAACCCTTTTTTTTAACCCCCCAACCTCTTTTTTTTAACCTACCACCTTTTTTT